CAGGGGCGGCTCCTGCCGGCGTGCGAATTGTCAGAGCCCTGAGAGCGCTCTGCTAAATAGCTGAGCTGCTGACACCTCTCTTCACAAACCAGCCCTTTCCCTCCTGTCAGATGAGAGGGCTTAAACCACTGTCTGCAACTCAAACCTTTTGTGGCACTTGCCACCTTTTTTGGTTGTTGTTTTTTTTTCTTTTCGTGCTAATGACAAAGAGCTCTGTGGGGGAAGAGCTGTAACCCTAAAAAAGAAAAATGAAACGTTAACGGCTTGCGAGTGGGTAGTGCCTGGTCTCTGCTCTGCCTGGTGATAACGTCCTTCTGCAAGGAGAACTCCATCAAGCCGCCAGAAGCGTGAATGATGCTGTTAAACACATCCATGTGTTTCCTGTTGCTCGGGAGGGGCTCGCTCTGGCTCGAGGCAGCAGCAGTAAGAGCTATCTCTGAGGAGCCCTGAGCCCATCCCTCTTGCCTCTTCTGCAGGTGCCGAATAAGTTCCGTTATCCCTTCTATTACGAGATGTGTTGGTACGTGCTGGAGCGCTACGTCTACTGCATCACCAGCCGCTCGCATCTGACCAAGGACTTCCAGAAGGAATCGCTCAGCATGGGTAAGCCTCCCGCTGCCCAGCCCTTCTCCCTTCCTCACCCGTATCGAAGCAGTTTCTTACACCCTCCTGGCGGGCGAGGGCCGTGTGGGAAGGATTTGGGTCTGTCACTTCCCTAATTTCGCAAGGTGGTTTCTTTGGTGTTTGCTGTCCTGAGCGTTGCAGGCCGGCCGAGGGAGGTGCGATTTCCTTCTTTTTCCTTTGAGCAAGAAGTCAAACCGAGCCAGACTTTTGCTTCCTCCTTTGCCCCGGCAGCAGCACCAGGTTCCTTGCAGCTGCAAAACCAGCACACGAGTCGCTGACCTCGCTTGTCAAACACAGAGCCTTCAACAGCAGAGGCAGAGGGAAGCTGCAGTAACCACCGCTGTGCCGTGGATTGTTTTCTCGCTGATCAGGGCTTTCCTGCACGCAGATCAAGGTTTTGTGCAAGGGAGTCTCTAGCAAAATATTTGGCCTCTTTACAGCCAAGGCAAGCGGGGCCTGAGCAGCAGCTCAGGAGATGGTATCTTAGAGTGGGACAGAGCTGGAGAGCCTTGAAGAAAATCTGTCCCCAACTCCCCTAAGAGGGGGACAGAGTTTTGAGCAAGCTGCTGTAGTAAAAGATGCCCCTGCCCACGGCAGCGGGGGTGGACTAGGTGGTCTTCGAAAGGTACTTTCCAACCCAAACCACTCTAGGATTCTACCAAATACCATCTAGGGCTTTGCTCTCTCCTTCTCCAAGAGGTTTTGTCCATGTCCCTTGTCTCACCCTCCCACAAAACGAGCCAGGAACGGCAAAGGGGTGTAGTTGTTCTTTTCCAGCTGCATCCCATCCTTGTCCCCGTATGTACCTGTTGCTTCGGCATCTCTCCTGACTGGGAGGATCCCTCCAGAAACCAAACATCTCCTGCGAGTGGTTGTCTGACCACTGTACTCTTCTCTTACTCTTTCTCCATCGTGGCAGATATGGAGCTGAGCTCCTCGGACTCCGTAAACATGGAGGAGGAAGAGGAGGAGGAAGACGATGAGGATGCAGCAGGGAAGGAACCCCGGCGACCCGTCACGAGGCGATCCATTCTCACCAGCCCCATAGCCAACGGTGCCAACGTGGACTATGATGAACTGGGCAGGAGCTGCCGGAGCAGCCTGCCGGCTCTGAAGAAGACCCCGTCTATAGACTCTTCC